AGAGGCATCGAAGTCTGTTCGCATAGTATCATATCATATAATATAATATAATATACTATACTATACTATACTATACTATACTATACTAGACTATAATATACTATAATATGCTATCATATACTATAATGTACTGTAACATAATACACAATTCCACGGCACTCCGGGAGCGACGGCGGAGCTGTTGCCTTCGTTCAACAGCTGTTCTCTGCACCCTGCGTTGCGATGTGGTGACCAGGAGTCCTAGGGTTTAGGGTTTAGGGTTTGGGGTTCAGGGTTTAGGGTTTAGGGTTTAGGGTTTGGGGTTTAGGGCTGAAGGCCGAAGAGAGGTTCCAGTATCTTTGTTTTTCGCAGCTTCAAGTCTGAAGGAAGTGGGGCACCGATGATGCAAGCAACTGTTTTGAGTGCCTTTCCCTGCCTTTCCCTGTCTTGCGGTAGGACCGTATAGTGTTGATAGAATCAGGATAGACATTTCGGATTCCCTGGTTGAAGAGTCCGTGGTGGAGAGCTCTTGGGGGTTGCTGGCCAGGCTCAGTTGGGTTTCCTGCCATCGGCAGGAACTGGGCAAACCGCAAGTTTCAAAGTCGAAATTCTAAAGCCCCAAAGTGTGAAACCTCAACATCCCACCCATCCGAAAACCTTACACCAGAACCGTAAAGTCTGCATGCGAAGGCCAACATGATCTTGGAGATGCTTCGATTCTCCAAGGCGGGGTGCACCCTGAAGTTCGGTTGAGCTCCGGTGGCTTTAGGGCACTTTCGGTTTCACTTCACGAATTTGTTTTGCATGTGGTACGTTCCATTGGGACTTTGCACCGCCTGAGCGAGAGAGTGATACCATTTTGCGGGTTCCTTATTATAGTTATAGTATAAGCTACCCGAAAACCTTATTCGTATTATTAAGGCCCCTAAACTCTAACCCTTATAGTCGCCCTTGTGGAACCCTTTCAAGGAACCCTATGAAACCTTATTCTGATCATTAAGACCCCTACGTTGTAGGACGTCTGGGCTCAGTTCACAGGCTCGGAGATGGGTCGAACGCATCCGAAAGAAAGGGACTTTCCAGGTCGTTGCAAGCGACGAAGAGATCAGGCTCACCTTCTCCCGCAGTGACAAGGAGGCCGGGTTCTACGAAGTGTTTTGTTTGTTTTCGGTTTCGCACCTTTTGAGTTGAACGCGCACTTTGGAGAACAGAAGCTTATCTAGGGGGTTTGCAGCAATTTCGGTTTCGAAACAGGCAAGCCCTATAGCCGCGAGGTCTGTCGGTGTTTGCACAGCAACAGCTACAGCCGTGATGATGGTGTCACTACTGTTGCTGTTGTTGTCGTTGTCCGTGTCGTCGTCGTCGTCGTCGTCGTGGTTGTTGTTGTTGTTGTTGTTGTTGTTGTTGCTGCTGCTGCTGCTGCTGCTCACCGGCTCTCCTTGAGGCAGCCGCTCTGCTCCTGCTCTTTGCAGGAGGACGATCACCCCCCTCTGACGACCTCTACAGCCGCTGCTACCAGTGACGCTCCTGCTGCGCCGCTGCCACTGGCTGCTCCGACGCCTGCTCATACCTCCACTCCTGCTACTCGTGCTCCTGCTCCTCCTCCTGCTCCTGCTCCTGCTCCTGCTGCTGCTCCTACTCCTACTCTCTACTACTCCTATTCCTACTCCTATTCCTGCACCTCTTCCTCTTCCTGCTACTGCTCCTGCTCCTTCTGCTGCTGCTCGTGCTACTAGTGCCATTGCCAAGGCTGCCTGCTGCTACTCGTAGTGCTGCTACTACAGCAACATCGTATAACTAGACGCAAGATGGCACTAGAGCGCAATGGCGTGGCCAGAAGAGCTGCAGCGTAGCACATTTGCCGCCGTCCGCATTTCGTCTTTTCCAGAAACCCAGCTGCTAACAATCGGTGCCGGTACAGTAGTTGATTCTTGTGTTACATAGTCGGGGATCCTTGTTGCCCTGGCAAATCCTGGGGTTCGTGGCAGTGTTTTTCGCGCAAGAATCCGACAGTTGGAGCGTGTAAACCTCGCCTCACAGACACCCTGCGATCTACCAGATTACCCGCCCCCTCAAATCGTATAAACACCTCGCCCAAGCCTCTGCGCTGGGCACCCTTGCGAAGGCACACCTTGCCGAAGCCTTGCTTGCTGGTGGAATGACAGGTCGGACGATGAAGGGTCCTGTCCGGCTTGGTTCTTCTTTGGGACTCCGGTCTTCGTGCTGCAAATGACGGACCGAAGTCGGAATATTCCAGGCATTTTGGGATGTTTGGCCTGGAAGGGGATGAGTTCGGAACAATACTGGATGTAAATCTCATGGAATCCTCATGACAGCATGAAAACTTGCAGTCAAGATTCGAGTGAGCAGACGGAAAGCAAGCTCCAATCCACAGACAATGAGCATGCAATCAATCTCTTGCCTGCTCTGAAAGATGCCTTCGAAGCAGGTACCTTGGATGCAACGCGCATGTTCCGTGCGTTGCGTCGGAGCCTGAGCGTCGGCCCGGGAGTTCGGGAATTCCGCAGCAGCAGTCCGAAGCCCAAAATCCTGAGGCAGCCGGCTCCTAAGCTTGGAGCTCACCCGGTCGTCCCTCTGCTTTGGAATAAGGGTCCATAAATTCGGAGATGATGTCGCCGGTTGCATATTTAGCCAGCCTGGACGCTGGGCTTGCTCAAGATGCTGAAAAGAACCAATCCCAAGACCAAAGGTCCGACACCTTTTCAGTTCCCGGCTTGCAGGGGTGTGCCACAGCTACAAAACCGAAAGGAAACGCCTGGTTACTTAGAACGTGCCTCCTCAGGTGCCGCCACAAGTGCCGGCAGCACCTGGGCGCCGCTGTGGCTCGGGGACGTGCCTGCGGCACGAAGTGTTGCTAGCTTCAGGGCTCATGCTTTCTTTGTTCAGGGTGTTTTCGTGCGCCCTATCAGCAAGGCTATGGCAGGCAAAGTGTTAGTTTTGACGCATCGGGGCTGGGTCATCTTGTCGGGAGCTGACTGGAGCCAGCATGGTCTTTTCGGGAGAGCTTGCAAATTTGTCACCCGATCTCACGTTGGCCGTCTCAATGTAGGACCACTCAAGGTTCCTCGGTTAACTATGGTGGGATACAGTTTGGTATCGCTGACAGAAGCCCATGTGCACAAAGTTGGCCTGAAGTGCACAAAATCTAAGCCCACTCACAACTAAACTTCCCAGCACATGTGCTGCAGGCTCTCTGCAGCAGGGGAGCCAAAACGAGGCCCAAACTACCGGACGAAATCCGACACGAGTTTGCCTGAAACTCTCCAAAAAGCCTTCCATTGCCGCCAACATGATGCCCTGGCTTTCTGAAGCTCTGAAGGTTGAGCAATTGCAGCTGGAAGGCAGTTGTGCTGCCAGGGAAGAGGACAGGCCAGCGTAACCCTAAACCCTAAACCCTAAACCCTAAACCCTAAACCCTGAACCCTGAACCCCGAACCCTGACACTATGCTGCACCAGCTTCAGACTAAGAGCCAGAGGACTCAGGGGCCGTGGCTCGCTGTTGCCGGAGGTGGTATCTTGAGGCCTCCGGGGAGGGACGGTGCTTTCGGAGAGGCTTTGGGCTTTTCAAAAACCCAGAGACTCCAATATCCCTTAATTAAGGAACATTCCTCAAAATTATAGTAGGATCCTGAATATGATTTAAGGTATATTCCTTAATTAAGGGATATTGGAGTCTCTGGGAAGGTTCCGGGCCTCGGTTCGGGTCGGGAATGCCGTGCTCCAAGTCTGAAATGCTTTTGATCCAACCCCCAAGCAGCTCTAGGCTGGGGCGCGCGGGCATCCCGATGCCGAGCAGCGGCTTGCCAGTGTGCAGGCAGCGGCTTCGGGTTTGGATGATCTAGGGTTAAGGGTCTGAGATGGCAGGGCTCAGGGGCCAGGGCTTTGAAGGTTGTTTAGGGTTTATAGGAAAGGGGCGAAAACTTCGGAAGTCTCGCTCCGTGGGCTTTGGCGTTTGGAGGCTTGAGGATTAGTTTTTGCAAACATGGGATCAAAGGCTCAAGAGCCTTGGATTTGGGCTAATTACTTGACTTGGTGGCTTTTGGATCCGAGCCCGCAGCTGCTGCTGCTGCTGCTGTTGCTGCTGCTACTACTACTACTACTGCTGCTGCTGCTGCTGCTGCTGCTGCTGCTCCTGCTCCTGCTTCTACTCGTGCTGCTGCTGCTGCTCCTGCTGCTACTGCTGCTACTGCTGCTGCTACTGCTGCTGCTGCTGCTACTGCTGCTGCTGTTACTACTTACTACTACTTACTACTACTTACTACTACTTACTACTACTTACTACTACTTACTACC